ACCTCTCCTCTTATTTCACTCTAGCAGCATTCTATATTCACCTCTAGCAGCATTCGAGAGGAAGGCCACAGATACCAACTTTGTGTTGTGTGGGAATCTCAGTTCTTTTATCACACTAATTGAAGGCTTCTTTGTGTATATACAAACAAATCTCCAGGGAAGACGAATAACAGAGATCTCTATTGTTTCTCCTCATTTCTTTTGACCTGTCTTTTTATTAAGGTCACTGTGATGTGCATGGACATTATTGGAGCACACACAAATTGACGAGAAACACATTCCTGCCTGTATTATTTCTGGCGAGCGCTGCACCTTGAAAACATCTTGAGAATCGTAATATTCTAGTCTACACAGCAATTATAGCTACATACATACTAAGACCAGTGGCCCTATACTACTGTGTACTGTGCCAAAATTGTTATGATAGAGGCCTAAACATTTCTATTACATCGCAGTGGATGCAGTGGCAACATTTGAAGACAGAGGTAGTTTAGCAGCACTTTGATTCAGAGGCTGATTAATCACATCATACACAGGTTCCTCCCTTCTTGCTGGTACCACTCCATAGGCTGTGTTACTGTGGGTCTCCATCTTCTTACTGTATGCTGATCTGTAAAGATGGCAAATGCAGGGAGGATATCATTGTCTACTTAACTAACCAAAGTTCTGTATACAAAGTCCAACCTAACACAACAAACCATGTTACACTCTGTGATACAAACAAGTACCTGTTGCAGATGCAAAATATGGCAATGGGGAGACAGACAAGGATCTGACAGAGTATTATTCCTCCACCCACTCCTCCAGCTATTACTGCAGTGCTCTCAGTACTACATGGCTCCTTGTCAACATCTGAAGAAGTAGAGAAAGGCCTGATAGCCATTATAGTCTGGATCAACTCACCTTTAGTACATGAGCATGTTTCACTGACAGGAGTAGCAGGAGTAGCAATGACCATATTTTTTCTGGTTGGAGTGATGCTTCTTCTTGTACATGGCTCAATATCTGCATGAGAAATAGAAAAGGCCTGATAGCCATAGTTTGCGGATCAACTCACCTTCAGCACATGTGATTACACTAGCTGATGTAACAGAGGTAGCAATGACCATATTGGAGTTGCTGGCGGGAGTGGTCGTTGGAGAAAAGAGTCTTGTATCGCTACTGTGACTGCTGAGAGCAATATCCTCGGCAGGAGTGACAGTCTTATTGACAGCAACGGTAGCAGTGCCAGTGATTTGAAGGGTGGTGCTAGGCTTAATACTAGTACTAGATACTACAGTAGCTGTTTCACTGCTAGTAACAGTGGTTGTAAGTGTCACAAAGGAGGTACACCCATTTACATTGCTAGGAGGACCTACATACAAAGTGAACATAATTAACCAGTGTGCAGCACTAATTATAAAGACTACATTGACATACTTTGAACTACTCTTATGAAAGCTGTGGTATCTTTTGATTCGGAGTAACGCAAAGTTTTAGCAGTGCAGCGGTAGACAATTATAGTGTCATTCTCAGAGGTGGTCAGAACACTCTGATAGCCTCTCTCTGGAGATCCAGTTGTGGTGTAAAGAGTGGGCATCAGTTCAGATGGACCAGATGGAGGAGAGATGGCAATGCGGATCCATTCTATGTCCACAGGAATACTCTGTCCATCAACCTCAGCTCTGGCAGTACAGTTGACTGAGAACTGAGTGTTTGGTGAGGTAGTGAGTGATTCAGGTGAGGTCTCTACGTATATCAGTGGTGGATCTAATGAGAGAGTGACATAAGGACATGATGGCTGGAAGGAGAGGTAAGTGACTCACTAGCAATGACAGTGATAGGTCCAACCAGAGGACTGGGTAGGTGAGGTGACAGAGCCACTATGGAGATGTAGTAGGTGACTCCTCTCTGAAGACCATCCAGTGAGTGTGTGTCTGTCTCTCCTCCAGACACCCTGTCACTGATGACTGGTCCTCCCTTAGGCTGGTAGTAGACGACATAGTCTTGTGACTCCCAAGACACAGTGATGTTAACATGTGTGCTGTTGGACTCAGGGATGACTGTGGTAAGATTAGTGGGCTCTCTTGCCACTGAGTAGAAGTGTGTAAGTAAATGTAATACCCCATACACATTGAGTGTTGTACCAATAATGGTCTTAGATCCAATAACTTCAGTAATGGATGCCTCAGGTAAGAAATATCTAATATTGTTGCCGATGGTACAGTTGTAAGTCCCACATTTTCTTCCTTTTACTCTCAATCTGGTGTCATAGACAGAGTTGAGAGATGTGTCCAGTATGAGCTGACTGGTCTCATGATATCTCTCTTCCTGTACTGGG